GTTTCAGAGGTGATCTCCCCCAGCCTCACTTGCTGCTTCCTGTCTGTCAGGAAGCTGGTGATCCACTGACAGATAGCTGGTGACACGCTGAGCTGGGAGAGTTTGGAGGAGAGATGTTCAGGCACGATGGTGTTCAAAGCTGAACTAAAGTCCACAAACAGGACCCTGGCATAGGTTCCCAGGTGGTTGAGGTGTTGCAGGATGTAATGCAGCCCCATGTTCACTGCATCATCTACCGACCTGTTTGCCAGGTAGGCAAACTGCAGAGGGTCCAACTGGTGGCCTGTAATGTCCTTCAGATGGGCTAACACCAGTCGTTTGAAGGATTTCATGACCACAGACGTCAAGGCGACAGGTCTGTAGTCATTCAGTCCTGTAATGGTGGGTTTCTTGGGGGACCGGGATGATGGTGGAGTGTTTGAAGGAGGAGGGAATTTCACACAACTCCAGGGATCTTTTGAAGATGCGAGTAAAGATGGGAGCCAGCTGTTCAGCACAGGTTTTGAGGCAGGAGGGTGAAACACCGTCTGGTCCGGGGGCTTTCCTGGACTTCTGTTTCTGAAACAGTCAGCTCACATCCTGAGTGTGTATTCTGAGTTTCAGGGAGAAGGAAAGGGGGGTGAGAGCAGTGATGAAGGTCGTTGAGACAGGATTGGGGAGGGTGATGGTAGTTGTTGAGTCTGGGTTGGGGAGGGTGGTTGTGGTCGTTGCATCTGGATTGGGGAGGGTGGTGGTGGTCGTTGATTCTGCATTGGGGAGGGTGGTGGTGGACGTTGATTCTGCATTGGGGAACGTGAGGTGGGAGGGGGGAAGGTGTTGGGGGTCAATGTCTGAAAAAATGTCTCTGGGGAGGGGAGGGTGAGGTGTGGGAGTCTGTCCGTCTCAAACCTGCATTAGAATGTATTCAACTCATTGGCCAGGTCTTTGTTTGCTTCAACAGGGGGTGGGGGATGTCTGTATTTGGTGATTTCCAGCAGGCCCCTCTACACTGACGCAGGGTTGTTGGCTGAGAGCTGTTCTTTCAGCTTCTGGGAGTAGATCCTTTCAGCTGCTTTCACCCCGGTCAGTGTGTTCCTGGCCTGCTTGTACAGGGCCCTGTCACCACTTGTGTAGGCATCCTCCTCGGCCTTACGAAGATGTTGGAGTTGAGGAGAGAATGATGGTTTGTTGAGTATTATGAAGTCACTTTACTACTGTCTACTTAGTTGTAATGCATATATTGACACACATGCTTGCAGTAAATGCTGACAGTGTTGTAAAGAGTGCAGCTGTAGCACACTATACCAGATAAACTATACCATCACATCATTTCAGAAGAACTCAAAGCATCTGCTTCAACATTATATTTGGTCCCAAAACAGCATGCAGTCTTCATGTAGACATAACATGATTAACAAGGTTAAAACCAAAAAAGCCTTCTATTTAAGTTTACTAAACTCGCCAGTAACACCACAGTCAAAAAGAAAAAGTCCGGCATAGAGCGGCTGAGTGAATGTGGCCCGAACTTTGTGGAGGAGAGTCATGGTTTCAGAGACGCTGTAGAAAGACAGAATACCTGCACTGTGATCCAGGTACACTCCTACTCTGGAGGACCGAGGACCTGAGAGGCGAGTTTTGTTTTTGTTGTACAAAAACTGATAACGCTCTGTTTTACAACTTAAAGCCCAGGATTTGTCATTCCATCCAAATCCACT